TCGCCCTGTGGTGGAATTCTTCAGAAATTCAGAAATTCAGAAATTCAGAAATTCAGAAATTCAGAAATTCAGAAATTCAGAAATTCAGAAATTCAGAAATTCAGAAATTCAGAAATTCAGAAATTCAGAAATTCAGAAATTCAGAAATTCAGAAATTCAGAAATTCAGAAATTCAGAAATTCAGAAATTCAGAAATTCAGAAATTCAGAAATTCAGAAATTCAGAAATTCAGAAATTCAGAAATTCAGAAATTCAAAAATTCCAAAAATTCAGAAATTCAGAAATTCAGAAATTCAGAAATTCAGAAATTCAGAAATTCAGAAATTCAGAAATTCAGAAATTCAGAAATTCAGAAATTCAGAAATTCAGAAATTCAGAAATTCAGAAATTCAGAAATTCAGAAATTCAGAAATTCAGAAATTCAGAAATTCAGAAATTCACAACATTGAAAATTTCAAAATTGACGAAATCGACGTTTTTGAGAATTTTTTTGGAGCTTTCCAAAAATAACATTTTTGCTTTTTTTTCAAGTTTCCTAGGTAGCTGTGAGCACTTCACTTACTTCAGTGGGTTCAAGATGTCCGAAAATTGAAATTTTTGCAAAAAAAAAAACTATAAATTGGAAAAATGAACTCATTTTTCTGAAGTCGCTTAGAGCCTATAGTCTTACCTTTACAGGATTAGAACAAAACTGTCATTTTTGGTTATTTCACAGAACCGGTTTTCGATTTTCAAGACCACTAGCTGAAAATTGAGCAATTTCGGAGCGTTTTGCAACAAAAATCACTTTTCTAGCTATTCTAGAAGCCAAGATATGGCCATTTGAAATTAGAGAGACGCCAGACAATAAGACACTCTAACTGCCTGTTGTTCTTTCAAGCACTATATCTCCCTAGAGATCCCTTGTACCAAAAAGTTGTCAACTACAAAAATGAAGCACTAGACTTGATTCATCTGTTCCCAAATTTTCAGAAGAATAGGACTACTGTAACCTAATTTTGTAGTTCTCTGAACTTTGCTAAATTTTTAACGAATTCCCTTAACCTTAAGGTCCTCATATGAACAGTGTCCTTTGAAGCTAGCTTAACTTTTTTGGAGCTCTAAACCCTTTGGGAAAAACATTTGAGTACTGTAGCTGTGTCAAAAAGGATGGTATATACGTAAAATGCATTCTTCTCTGACACATTATTGCGTATAGGCCGTCCGAGGGGGTGGCTAAAGGGGGGATGAGGTTCAATTCAGAAGCCAACTAGTTTTTTTCTGTCTCTTTCTGTTCAAATTGCGCATTGGGGGGGGGAGGACAGGATATGGATCGAGAAAAGCGCTAGTGTTGCTAGTGGCCGAATTAGGCAATATGACTGGTCATCGAGTGGTTTTTGAGGGGATGAAACTTTAAAGGGACATGAACTTTTGCGGGAGGAGACTTGCAAAATCTGAGATCTCGAAATTCATATTTATCAGTTATTTTGTCTTAAGGTCATAGGTTTTGAGACATGGTTAAATGCCTGGCAAAGTTTTAAGAGCTACAAAAGAAGGTTACCGTAATGAGATTAGTCTGAAAATTTGAGAACATATAAAACACAACTAGAGCTTCATCTTTGTAGTTGACAACTTTTTTGTACCATAAACCCCTAGAGAGATACACCGCTTGAAAGAGACGCAGACAGTTAGGGTGTCTTGTTGTCTGGCGTCTCCTTTAAATACCCATATCTTGGCTTCTGGAATAGCTAGAAAAACGGTTTTTGCTGCAAAATGCTCCAAACATGTTAGATTTTTTATTTACGATTATAAAGCTTGAAGTGTTTTGAGCCACGATAGTGTTTACTGACTCCTAGATGCTAGGAAAGGGGTACGGTAGCTATTATCTGGTCAGAATGCATATTTTAAAGGCATTTTTGGGCTTTTCCGGATCTCTATAGGTTAGCTTTAATGCCAAATTTCCTGCTTAAAATCCATAAGAGCGGCTTTCCAGGATTACTGTAAATGTGCCGACCTGCAGTTTGAGCGGCTCAAACTTCTCGGTTCCTATAAAACATATCTAAAAACGCTCAACTGATAAAATATTGGTCTTATCATAACAAATATTTTATTTGTTTACAACTTTTCAATACCAGCTACGGAAACTGAGATAATTAAGCTAGTCTCCAAATCAAGGGGTGACGTTCCACTAGAGAGCACGCTTGCCTTTACTTTGGTCCGCTTTATCTCGGTTCTGATAAGAGATATCGCAAAACTGTCAGCTGATAAAATATTGCTGATATTGTGATAAGCAGTTTGTCTGTTGACGGTTTTTTGATATTTATCATAGTAACCGAGATATAGTAAGTCAAAACTGAGAGTTTATACCAGATTTTGAGCTATAGCGACCTCAGAGCTATAGTGACTCTTTAGATTTTTCAAATCCAGTTTTACGCTAGCTATGGCTTCCAACCTTGGCCATCCTCCTCATTTCCTTGCTCTTCTTCCCAACCTTCACCATATCTCATCGGTCTCATCTCCCAGATCCAAAAACCTGCTTCTTCTCCCTCCCCACCTTCCACCTTTAACAAATGTTCCGGTCACTTAGATTCCCAAATAGATGGCTATAGATCAAGCTAGTTAAAGGGACGGGGGGGGGGGCACAGTGACACCTTCTTCCGAAATTTCGTAAGAAAATGTCCTCAAAGAAGAAGCGGCAAAGTTTTGACCTGAAGAAGAACCAGTTCCCTTTTTTGGGGCTAACCGACACAGACAGACCTCGTCAAGAAGCTTTTTGGAAGAGAGAGAGAGAGGGATGATTCGGAGGACAGCGACAATTGTTGCACAATCAAAACAGCTTGACACATTTTCCAAAAAAAAGACTGGTTTTTTTTGGATGTGTCGGGAGAAGAAGCGTAACTTAAGGAAGATTAGAAGAACGCAATGAGAGGGAGTATGGATGTAGGGGGGGCGGGGAAAAGACCCTTTTTGAAAGGGACTAAGTTTTTTTTAGTAATTTAAATTTTGTATGGTTTGGTAGAGCATTTTAAGATCCAGTTTCGATTTTCTGAAAGTCTCGATTTAGAAGAAAGTTACTAGCTTTACAAGAAATGAGAGATTAATCCTAGGAATAGCCCAATCTTTGAGATTTTGCATTTATCAAATTTTATATAATTTGAAGGATTTTTCAAGAGATACATTTTCCAATTAAAATCGTCCCAAAATGTTCCATTTGAAGGGAGTTACGGGGCTTTAACCGAAACGAAGGCTTAGAATCGCTGTAAGCCGACTATCCGTGAAGAGAACCTACAGTAAGACGATTCAATTTAAGGATTTTTTAAGATCTAAATTTTCCAGTTTGAATAACTCCAAAATGTTCAGTTTGAGGAAAGTTAAGAACCCTTTTCCTATTTTGCGAGCTTTAGGCAAGTTTAAGTCATGTTTAAAGAAAGCTCTAAGCAAGCTTCAAACAAGCTTCAAACAAGCTTTAAGCTAGCTTTAAACAAGCTTCACACAAGCTTTAAGCTAGCTTTGAACAAGCTCCAAACGAGCTTTAAGCTAGCTTTAAACAAGTTTCAAGCAAGCTTCGAACAAGCTTTAAACGAGCTTGAAACAAGCGTTAAACAAGCTTTAAACAAACTTGAAACATGCTTGAAGCCAGCTTGTAGCTAGCTGAAAGCAAGCTTGAAGATAGCTTAAAGTACGCTTAAGGCAAGCTTGAAACATATTTGATACAAGCTTCAAACGAGCTTCAAACGAGCTTCAAACGAGCTTCAAACGAGCTTCAAACGAGCTTCAAACGAGCTTCAAACGAGCTTCGAACGAAATTCAAGCAATCTTCAAGCTCAACTTTCAGCGCGTTCAACACCCCAAAGATCCCAAACGTTCCACCTGAATCCTATCCAATATCTCCAATTTCTTTCCCACCACCCATATCCTCTAATCTCATTACTATATACCCCATAGCTAGGCACCGCAATGAAATGGGGCGGGGCGACCAAATTTTTCTCCCCTTTTCAGAAATCCATCTTTGAAGGCTTTTACCGGGCGTTAGAAACCCATTCTTTTTTTGGTGAGAACTTGTCCCTATGTAATCGACTACGCTGAATCCAATGAAATTATCAGTTCTTCGATAACTTTATTATTTTGATTCGAAAACTTCGAAAAATAGAAGTGGGACTGACAAAGTGGACTAAAAGTGTTGGATGGAAGTTCGCGCCATTAGATTTTTTAATGGATTCTGATAGTTTTTGAACTGGGGGATTGGATTTTGAAATAAAATCAAAATTCTAACGACGCCCTTGTTTCACAATTTTCAGCCAAAGTTCCAGCTAAAATAAATAAAAAATTTCAGCGATGACCCCAATTTTTTTTTGCATATTATGGTAAAACTAAGTCTTGTGTATACTTCTGCCAATTTTCAGAAAGATTGAATACCTCTAAGTAGTTTTGATACTCATCCGAAAATTCCAAACTTTCAAAATTTTCAGTTTTTGGAAGTTTTGAAGGTGACACAGGTGAGCGCCACCGATTTTCTTTTCACCATAAGATTCTACGCAAAATTTGCCACTAAGAGCAATTATAATTAAAAAATTCTATCGACGCCCTTAATGTGTTATACGTCTGTTTCCTTATCTATCATGGAACAACTTGTAAAAAATAGGAAAGAGGCAACACCGGAAGGAGACGGCAGGCAATGAAAAGTCGTCCTTTCCTCACTCTCATCTATTGCTTCCAAGAGAAGTGCAGCGGTGGCAGACTGGTTAGTGGGCGCGCGCACCGATCTGAAGACCGAAGTTCGCATCTCCCATGGGGTTTTTTTGTTTTTTTTTCCTTTTTTCAATGGGCCACGGTGTTTGCACAAAACATCAATAAATTATAGTAAAATTTTGAAGTCTGAATGTTATAAACTTATTCTTTTCGTTTTTTTACCCTAAAAACTGCTTTTCCGACAAACCAAGATGCGATTTTGATGAAAAAACAGCGCTCGGAATAGCGCCACAATGAAACCGCGCCGCAGCTAAGCCCCGCCCACTTTTCTGCGCACCGCAAAAAAATGAGGAGAAATTCAGTACATTGAGGTCTGGTATAAAAGGGGCTGTAACTCGGGATTGAATGAAGATTTTTCCCTGAAATTTTGGGAATGGACTTCTATAAAGTAGGAGAATACAATCCAACAATAAAAACTGGGAAAAGTCTATTTTGAAAATTTTGTTGTGGTGCCTACCCATAGCCCTTCAACCCAAAAAGTCGGGGGGGGGGGCCGGTTTGAAACCAATCCTCTCCGTCCGTCCGTCCGTCAGACGGACACTACAACTACGCAACAACTGGATTCCGCTCTACAAGTTTCAATATTGTTGTGTAGAAGACGACAAGAACAGAGAGGCTAATCGAGCGGATCAGGGAGAAGACCGGTCTTCTGAATCGGTTGGCAGCTAACATAGGGAGACAGAGGGGTCATCGGGATGGATGAGATGAGATATTGGAGGGGGAGAAAACTGAAGACGTGGGAGAGAAGAGAAGAAGCTGATGAGGACAATGGATGTCTCGAGAGTGGAAGAATAAGAATAGGAACTTGTTTCCCAAGGAACGAACGGATTCCGAATTAACCTTGGAATAATACAGAGGGATTGAAGTCGTAAGGCAGATTTTAAGGTACTTTTTGAGATATGCATGCATCAAATTCTATATCAATCTGTAGGAGTTTCCAAGATCTACATTTTCCAATTAAAATCGTCCTAAAATTATCAACTTGAAGGAAGTTAAAGGGAATTTCACAGGAATGGAGGACTAAATTATGACCTTGTAGATCTTCTGAAATCCTAGGTTTCCCAATTGAGATATTTTGTAAATGTGGAGTTTGAAGAAAATTTTGATCCCTTTTTCAACTTTTCAAGCTTGAGACATGCTTTAACACAAGTTTGAAGCAAGTTTAAGGTGGATTGGAGGAATTGCCCGCAGTATGTCCGGGGTATCAGGTTCCTGTGATAAAATAGAAGAAAATCAACAAGAAATGTAACAAAATCGGTTTATTATGAACAAGTTAGAAAGAAACAACAAATAGAAGCTTAGAATTCAAGCAAACTCACTTAAAACCCTTAAAAGAGTCTCTCAAAAACTACGAGCCAAATCCAAGCTCGCAATCCCTCAAAACTAAATTTAAACTGTGCGCGCGCCGAGCGGGATAGCGGAGTGTCGTTGCGTGGTTAGAGGGAACCTTTAGAAGGGGTTGGAGGGTAGCTGCCCCAGGCAACTGAGGCAAGCTTTGAAAATATTCCAAAAATGGTGCCAAAACAGAAAATTGAACTGGTCTTGCTCCCAAGATACCTATGTGTCTAGTGAAAAAGTGCCCCTGAGGAGGAGGGCGTGGGAATTGCCCTTGTGTCAAGTCATCATTAGGCTCTTGTTTTTGCTCACAATCAGATTTTAGGATTTAGAAGTACATGAGAATATGAAGTGCGTAGCTCTGGTAAGGGTGCGGCTATATTTTTGTCCAAAAGTTGAAAGGTTCCTTTAGGGTTTCTTTCAAATTCATTCAAGACTCCTTTAGGACCTTTAAGGTTCCTTTTACGTTCATTTAGGGTCTCTTCAGGGATTCTTTCAAGTCACTGAAAAGTTCCTTTAAAGGTGGGGGGACAGGAGATTTTACGGGGGATTTTTGTATCTAGAGTATGCATTCTACCGTCACGGTGTACAACGCTTAATGTCACTCTGCGTACAGCTGTCGTCCTCGCCTTTATGTATGCAAACGGGCGTGCGCTTTCTCTTTGCCCGCGTGGCTCAGTCGGTAGCGGCGCCGCACCCTCAATCATCGCCCTCACAAGTTCAACTCCTCGAGGGGCATCTTTGAACGGAATTTCGAGAACATTATTTTTTTCATGTCCCCCCACCTTTAATGTTTCTCTCAGATTTGCTTATAGCTACTTCAAGGTTTCTTTAGGATTACTTTGGGATTCTTTAAAGTCTGTATAAAGTTCCTTTATGATTGATTCAAGGTTGATTTAAGGTTCCTTTAAGGTTCTTTCAAAGTTCCTTTAGAGCTAATGCTAACTCAATAATCTCGGATGTGTCAACTAATAAAACATTCACCCTTCTAATAAGAGCTATATTTTGTTAGTTTACAGATTCTCGATATCTTGTACAAGGACCGAGATAATTGAACTTAACTAGAGGGGATACGGTATCTTGAACTATGTTAGTCTAGCTTACGCTACATAGCTTACGCTAAACCACTTTAAATTACCTCATCCCTCATATTTTGAACTATGGTAGTCTAGCTCAAGGTAGTTTAAGCTAGCTCAAGTTAGCCTAAACATGTTAAGCTTACAATTTTGGAATCTCCGATTATTTGACCATATCACCAGGAGCCAAAAGCAAACATTTCTTCTTCTTCTTCTTCCCTAAAAATAGCCTCTTCTCCCTGTGTATACTTTTACTACTGTACCACTACTGTATAAATGAACAGTGCAAATAGTACGGGCGGTCAGAAAAAAAAAAGCGGGGAAAAATTGTGTATGGAAAAATATAGTAAAAATGTATGCCTGGGAGGGGGAGGGACGGGACTGTTGAAAAAGCAAATATCACAAGGATGCATATATAGATTGTATATATGTATTTGTATGAGAAATATAGGTGTAGAGGGGTTGGGTGTGATGAAAATATGTTCCTAGATTTACAGGGAAAAAGGGGACTTTTTGGAATCAAAAAGCTTTTTAAAGGTGGGGGGACAGGAGATTTTTCGTAGGATTTTTGTAGCTAGGGTATGCATTCTACCGTAACGGTGTACAACGCTTAATGTCACTCTGCGTACAGCTGTCGTCCTCGCCTTTATGTATGCAATCGGGCGTGCGCTACCCCCGTAGCTCAGTCGGTAGCGGCGCCGCACCCTCAATCATCGCCCTCACAAGTTCAACTCCTCGAGGGGAATCTTTGAACGGAATTTCGACAACATTATTTTTTTCATGTCCCCCCACCTTTAAGACTTTGAACCGTTTTTGAAATACCGTAAACACTCTAATAGAACGCCACCCGAATAGTCAAATTTGAATTTGTATATCTCATTTTTTGTAAGAGATATAGAAAAGTGGTCAACTGATAAAATGTTGTTGATATCCTGATAAACATTTCATCAGTTGACAACTTTATCTTTCAAAAGAAGTGAGATATATAGGCTCAAAGTAGACGGTCCGGGTGGCGTTGGGCTTGGGTATACTGTAGAAAACTAATTTCTTTCTTTGACATAGGGGCAAAAAAAGTTTCTTTCGAATGAAAAGAAAAATAACGGAAAGAAAAGAAAGAAAGAGGTCGTCTTTTTATGGGAAAAAATGAACAAATTCTAGAAAAAAACTTTGAAAAAAAATTGTTTTTTTTTTGAAAAAATGGGCGGAGCTTCATAGTTTCAATCAAAACCAAAAATGTGTTTTTCTGTCTAATTTGCTAGAAAATTCTGAATTTCTGAATTTTTGGAATTTCTGAATTTCTGAATTTCTGAATTTCTGAATTTTTGGAATTTCTGAATTCTGAATTTTTGGAATTTCTGAATTTTTGAATTTCTGAATTTCTGAATTTCCTGGAATTTCTGAATTTCTGAATTTCTGAATTTCTGAATTTTTGGAATTTCTGAATTTTTGGAATTTCTGAATTTCTGAATTTTTGGAATTTCTGAATTTTTGGAATTTGTGAATTTGTGAATTTGTGAATTTCTGAATTTCTGAATTTTTGAATTTCTGAATTTCTGAATTTCTGAATCTCTGAATTTCTGAATTTCTGAATTTCTGAATTTCCTGGAATTTCTGAATTTCTGAATTTTTGGAATTTGTGAATTTGTGAATTTGTGAATTTCTGAATTTTTGGAATTTCTGAATTTCTGAATTTCTGAATTTGTGAATTTCTGAATTTCTGAATTTTTGGAATTTCTGAATTTCTGAATTTGTGAATTTCTGAATTTCTGAATTTTTGGAATTTCT